CTCTCTCTCTCTCTCTCTCTCTCTCTCTCTCTCTCTCTCTCTCTCTCTCTCTCTCTCTCTCTCTCTCTCTCTCTCTCTCTCTCTCTCGTGCGCGCTCTTTTGTAGAGTCATTCATTTGTTACAACTTACAATACACAATAGATAGAACCGGACGTATATGGACATGATATGTGCAATTATATGAGCTACGTGCTGACTCAAGCACTGTGTCATGCCTGCAACTGTATGAGGCTTCGAAGTCCGAGAACAGGGTCTTGAGCTCCTCTTCCTCCATAATCTGAGATATTTTTGAGTAATTTTTCACTCCTCTTTTTTTTTTTTTTTTTTTTTTTTTAACCAAAAAGACTACTCCTTCCCCATCCATCCATCTTATTTTCATCTATTAAGTTTTTTTTCTTTCTTTGTGTACCGCCTTTTAATTAAAACACCAGTTTGACCTATTGAGCTTTTTTTTTTTTTTTTCCTCTTTCTGTACCCCCTTTGAATTAAAACACCACTTCACACCAGCCTAAGTTGAAGGAAGCCACCTTCCAAGGCTAGTGTCTTCACCCGAATATTACGCCCGGTCATTATTGCTGTATATGGCGCAATTTTCAGTCTATATACAGGGATAATGACTGGGCGTTATATTCGGGTGAAGACGGTAGCGAACCTGAGACTGCTCCCTTTTCAAAGTGGCCTTCCACGCGCACTATCTGCCCGGTCATGATAAAAAATCTCTTACCGCGGGTCCGATGAAAATCTCTTAAATATTTTTTTTGAATTTTTTTATGTTCGCGTTCGGAGGGTTTTGTGCGCTAGTTCGCGTTTGGGCCAACATGTTCGGCTCCGCCTCCGAACGCGAACACGATGCTACGCAGGTCTTGACTTTCCTTTTTTTTCTTTTTTTCCTTCTTCTTTACTAGTTCAACTGCCTTGATCTCAATGACTGGTCTCATTGCACTACCACCTTGCACATGGGGTTTGGGGACCCCATCCAGTTTGCTCGTTGGCATGTGCAAGGTGTTAGCGAGGCCAGTCTAAGACATCAGGCGGTTGAACTAGTCGATAAAGAAAAGGGAAAAAAAAAAAAATCAAGACTCAAGGGCCTTAGTCTATGTATAGTCAAGACCCAAGAGCCTCTTGTCTTCCTGTCTGTTCTCACTTCTGAGTGCTCTTCTTTTTCAGTCCTAGCAAGCTCTTTTTTTTTTTTTTTTCCCCTTATATACCAGTATTTAACTGACTGGCGTCTGACAATGACAATCAGACGCCAGTCAGTTAAATACTGGTATATGAAAAAAAAAAAAAAAAAAAGAGCTTGCTAGGACTGAAAAACAAGAGCACTCAAAAGTGAGAGCAGACAGGAAGAGAAAGGCTATAGCTCAATCGGAACACCAACAAAGTTTTGTCATGCAGACCCAAGTTCGAATCCCGATGTAATTCATATCTTTAAATCTTTTTTAATATTTTATTCTATCGATCTGATTCTGATTGCATCGGGATTCGAACTTGGGTCTGGATGACAACACTTTGTGGGTGTCCCTACTGAGCAGCGGTGCCCTGTCGGTATTCACAGCCAGCTCTTCTTTACTCAGTGCTCGTTTGTTGCACAAGTGAGGCAAGAACCTTTGTCTATATTCATGGCTACTGTCTTCACCCGAATAGAATGCCCGGTCATCATAGCTGTATTTGGGCCAACATTCTGTCCAGATACAGCGATAATTACCCGGCGTTCTATTTGGTTGAAGACGGTAGCTCTTAGCTCTCTCATCATGTGCTAAAGTGTGGTCGACGGTGTGCTCCGTCTCGTGGGTGGTTTGTCTTGATCTTGTTCTGCAGGCGATGCAGCGGTGCCCTCAGCCTATTCCTTGCAGCACATTCAATAACGATGGAACAATATTTGCGTATGCGGTAAGTAGAAGAATGAAGGCAAAAAAAAAAA